AGCTGCTGCAGAAGAGTCTGTCTGTGTGTTTATGAAGAAACAACAGCATCAGTGGAATAACAGCACTGTTACACACTTGTAACGTGTAGAGGAACATGTGTGTGTTCTGGACCTGCTCCGCTTCAGGGAAATACAGGATGTTTCTTCAGGATAGACGTAGTTTTGCGTCTGTGAGAGGTGAGTGAAAACGCGCTGTTCTAACTCGGAGCTGTGTTTAAGAGGATGTTTGTGACACATCAGGCTGTATTATTACAAGTGCACCTGTGTGATCAGTGCTGTATTGTTGTTAGTATCTCTTCATGAATGTGCGTTACATGTGTGTGGACCTGTCATATGTCACTCATACAGTTTCTAGATGTATTATAATAATTCTTTAGATAAAAAGCGTCCTGAAGACTCAGCTGCATAAATAAGGTGTTGGAGTAGAAATAAACAGCCCTGTTTGTACAAAGATTGTGTCTAATACTGTCCAATGTACAAATATTAATAAACTATGTCGGTCTAGGCTTGTCTAATTTGACTCCAGCATGGCTCAGTTACATGCAGCTTATGTGACTAGGTCTGTCGCGGTGAGGGAATTTCTCCTGCTGTGTCCATCCCGACACCATCATGGTGAAAAACTCTGATCATAACAGCCTCAATCTTTACCACGTGTTAGTCTCGAGCTCTGCACATATCAGTTTTTATAAATCTATCTTCCTTCAATCTGACTAATGCTGATTTAGTCTCCAAATAAGACAAACCTACTGTACTGAAACAGTCCTTTTTTGGACCCTGACCCACAGGTTGAGAACCTCTTCTTTCAGCTTTAAACTTCAACGTGCACTTACTGAAAACTGCTTCAAAATGAATTTATATTTATATTGAGTGTATTTATAATGAGACTTGGAGAGCAGGTACATTTAGGCAAACTTTAACAGCGCCGTGTTTATACTGCACACATTATGCTGATATGACAAAAACTAAATAAATCAGCAAATAAAACTTTTTTGTAGTTGTTTACAGTGTTATACTGAATATGTCTGAGCGTGTGTGGAAAACAAAACAAAACCTCAGAGCGTCTTAAAGTGACAGGTGGAGATCGTGCGTCACTGTGATCTGCTGCTTTCTGCTGGACAGTGTTGTAATCATGTACTGACAATATAATAAAAAACCTTTGAATGTGAACGTGTGCAGCTGCTGGTGTGGGTGAACACTTGTACTCACCAAAAAGTGTCAGCAGGGGGCAGTGATCAGTCAGTAGAATAAACTGTTGTCCCTACAGATACTGATGAAACTTTATAAATTAGTCCCAGAGGCTTTTTTGTCCATTTGGGAATAGTTTTTTCAGCTCATGAGGCACAAGCGGTGGGTTTTTCTTCCACATTGGGCTTTGTGTGTTGGATTTAGAGGCATCACCTGCTAAAGTGAGTGCTACGTTTGGGTCATAATGAGACTTGGTCACTTGTTAGCTCCTCTTTACTTTTAACAAAATGCTGTCTGCTCAATCCTAGTCTATTTATGTTTTTGTCTGAACCTGTACAGTGGGGCCAGTCCTGTGCTTTGCATTGGTACAAGTCTATTGTAATAATTCATCAGCCCTAAAATATGATATTTGATTTGCTTTATGGATTTGTTCTTGCTCTGAGTTTGGTCTTGGTCGTCTAGAGCAAATGAAAAGTCGAGGAGCGGAACACTGTTGTGAGCCAAAGACGAGTGAGGAGGTTTGTGCGTGAGATGTTCCCTGGTCTGTGGTCTTATTTATCCACCTTCTCTGGCCTTGATCATCTAAACACACTTAATCATCTAAACACACTTAATCATCTAAACACACTTAATCATAAAACACTTAACATTAAACACATCATCTAAACACACTTAATCATCTAACACACTTAATCATTAAACACACTTACACTTAATCATCTAAACACACTTAATCATCTAAACACACTTAATCATCTAAACACACTTAATTATCTAAACACACTTAATCATCTAAACACACTTAATCATCTAAACACACTTAAAGGGATAGTTTGGATTTTTTGACATAAATCTGTATGTCATCCCCGTCATCAGTGTTGTGCATCCACACCAACTTACCCCCCGAAAGCGTCCGGTGAGCCGAGATACTGGCCCGTTTTGGTGCTGAGGAAAGTAGTCCAGCAAGTTGTGTGGGGACTGTTTACTAAAGCGTTTTTCTTCTCAAAGCAATATGTGTTCAACAGAGTGATACATTTGCATCACAAAACCATCGTCGCCAAAAACGTCAGACCTCATTATTGCTTGGCACTATTTTCTTTCTGTTCGTATCACTGCGCCCTGCTGCCAGGTGACAGCCGCGCACGGATCCATTTGTTTCTTCAGTTGTTCGGCAGTGTTTACATGTGCAGACGCCGCCACGTGAGAGAGCTAACGAGAGAGCTTATATGATCATGCTACCACAAAGTTCTTTATGAACCCGAATATACTGATGCCGAATGGAGTTAGAACGAGCAGAGAGAGAAGACAGACAGAGAAGTGGTACAAGTTGAAGCTCGTGAGAGACCGAGTGAGCGACAATCACCATCACGTCATTTATAAACTCGTATACAGTGAACATAGAGCCGACACTGTGACTGAAGCATGGACGACTAATAGAAAACATGAATCATCCACACGTCCACGTAGCTGCTGCCAACAGTGTACGAGACATTTACAATAGTAAATAACAGTCGACTTATAAAGTTACGTTTTGTAGAAGCTTCACTGGTGATATGACACTGAGTGATTTACTGCACACAGAGTTACTGCTGATTCTTGAGTCTGTTCTCTTGTAAACATAGCAGCACTTCTTCGTTCTTACCTGGTTTCATTTCCACATTGAAGCCTAAGACAAGAAGCCAAAGTTTCCTCAGCGCAAAGTCCGTGACAGGAAAACAGTGAAATGTGTGTGTGGAGATTCAGCCAGATTTTTGTTGTTACAGCCTGGAGAATCAAGAGTTCGCACCATTTTTTAGTTATATTCATATGTATCTTATACAAGCTCATATACTTATGGCTCTAGCTCTCACGTTAGCTCTCTCACGTGGCGGATCTGCGCATGTAAACACTGCCGAACAACTGAAGAAAGTGATGGATCCGTGCGCGGCTGTCACCTGGCAGCAGGGCGCAGTGATACGAACAGAAAGAAAATAGTGCCAAGCGATTATGAGGTCTGACTTATTTGGCGACGATGGTTTTGTGATGCAAATGTATCAGTCTTTTGAACAAATATTGCTTTGAGAAGAAAAACGCTTTAGTAAACAGTCCCCACACAACTTGCCGAACTACTTTCCTCAGCACCAAAACGGGCCAGTATCTCGGCTCACCGGACGCTTTCGGGGGTAAGTCGGTGTGGATGCACAACACTGATGACGGGGATGACATACAGATTTATGTCAAAAAATCCAAACTATCCCTTTAATCATTGCTCTCTTTCATCTAGCACACCTGCCTGTACAGTGATCTGTCAGGTCTGCTGCTCCTTTTTCAGGCCTGGGTTTTCTAAAAACTTGAAATTAAAATCGGATTCAGTCAGTTCAAAAGATAAACAGACACACAGGTTATTAAACTTTCTCTCATTGCACATTGATGTTCCAGCTCAGAATTTCATTGACAAATAGATTTTACATGATGAAAAAGGAGATTTTTACTTGGTATTTTTTATTTGACATGAAGCTGAAGTTGGTGCAGAATCATCTGATTAAAGTTTAAAGGTTACGTGATTTGATTTGGATCCAATAAGGTCATCGGAAATATACTGCGTCATAAAAAGTAAAATTAAACACCCAAAAGTAATCAGAAATCTTTTATTTGACTTGTTATTAATAATTCATCTTAATGTGTTGAATCCCATTGTAATGAACGCAGACACAGTACATCACATCAACAACAAGTGGTAATAATAATAATAATAATAATAATGGTAATAATAACTGGTAATAGAATCTTACATTTAATTCATATTTTGAAGAAATCAGATCCTAATACAAAGGGGAAATGGACTGATCTGTCCCAATCAAATAAGTAAAAAATATATATAAAAAACGACAGGAGCATGTTTGCGCAGAAACATAAAACTGAATCATCATCAGGTCTGATTAACATAAATGAACTGACTAATGAGACAAAGACAAGGGCGACTCTTGAGTCATTTAAGTCATTGTGGTTTCTTTTGAAACATGTTTGAAATCACATTATCACATTATTACTACTTTTTCAGGTTCGTTCAACAGCTCGTCTTGCAGTCTTCTTCTTTTGGTGCAGTTTGACATTGGTTTCTGTAATTTTGAAACATTTGATTAAATGCGACTTCAGTTGTATTTAACAAACTTTTGAAAATAGTCTCTGTACTCTGGTATCATGAATATTGCTTTGTTAATGTCTAATTAATGAAATAACTATTGGATTTTTACAGCGCCTTTCAAGATACCCAAAGTGCTTTAAGCCGTGTTCACACCAAACAAGAATGGAGCAAACAAGGAGAATGTTTTCCATGTTAAACCTATGTAAAGGCGTGTTGACGCGCGAATGACGTGAATTGGGCGGCGCATGAATTTCCAAAAGAGAGGGGCTCGCGAAATTCTCCAAAGTTGAAAATCTTGAACCTTCTGCAAATATTCGTGTCACGTCAACCAATCAGGGGCCGTGCTCTGATAGTGACGTATAAAACTGAGACAGATGTGAACTTTTATTCAACACTCATTGTTCCTGTAGAAAATGAGCCGATATGATACGATACCAGCACGAGCCAGAGACCGGAATAAACTCCACAGAGCAGGACCTACACCAGATTCTGTCCCCCTTTCCTTTATTCTGGTCCAGATCTCAGTCCTGCTCTGGTCCCGGTCTCAGTCCCAGTCTCAGTCGAGCTCTGGCCCGGTCGCGGACTCTGAGCCTCCCCGTGCTCCAAACCTTGGCTTTGACCTCCTGCCCCTCCGGCCCTGCTGTGGGCTCCGAGCCTCTACAAGCTCCAGCCGGGCCGTAGGCTCAGAGCT